GACATTCTCAGCTGAGATTGTCTTCCCCTGCATGCTGTGTAGGCAGGGGTAAAGTCCTCACCCCCAACCCATAGCTACTAATAGTCTTTTCAAAGCAATAAGTCATCGTTTGGTTGTAGCTTAATTAACTAAACTGAGATGCTGTCACAAAGAACCAAGCAATAGTAGTGGGCGGGCTCTCTGGCAGCTGGGAGACCTTCAATTCTGAGCTGCTAAAGGGTTAAACAATCCTCGCTGAAAGAACCCGCAGAGACTGAATGGGGCAGTGCAGAAACTGCCCATTCATTCAGTCTCTCTCTTGCCAGTTTGTCATTAGCTGACCTGTAGTTTTCAAAGTACAACTGTCAGGTTTCCTCAATATTTCCTAAATCTCTAGGGTAAGTCAAGGGGAGGGGGTGGGTGGATGAGAGTCAGCATCCAACTCAATTGTGCCAGCATTTACCATGCCTCTTGATTCTTTTCAGCCAGCCTCTATTGAGCCGTCTGCAGCCTGCCTCACAGCCCCTCCCTGCAGGTACAAATGCAGTGTCAGACTGGCCGGCTCTGGCCTCAGACCGCCAAGCAGCAAATACAAGGCTGTGTGCTCCAGGGTTTTCATATCCTGCTGATTCAGTATTCTAGGACTCTCCTTCCTCCCCTGGCTTCCTCTTACCCTGACTCCTCCACTCCTTCCTCTGCAGATGGGGGCCAGAAAGGCTCACCACTTGAAGTGCTCTTGGGGACCCTTGTGTTCAACTTTATAGGTAAGGGAGGGGGATCCCCTTCTACCCTGTGGTTTCCTTTTGAGACTGCTTTGTAATAAGGAATCCTACAAAATGCGACCCATTCAACTTTTAGGAAACAAAACAGCAAAAATCTCTTTCTGTGGTTAGGGGGGAGGGGTGCAACAGATGGGAAGGCAAAGGAAATCGAATTGGGAGTGAAGATAACTTGAGCTCTGAGCCTTCCTTTAATGACAGATTGCAAATCCAACCCCTCGGTTCCCCACATGCACCCCACACACACACTGGAGTTGTCTGGTATAAACCCCAGCTGGCTCCCTTTCCTTGCACTTTGGGTTCCTTGTCTCACAGGGATGGCCTGATGAGACACTCTGAAGGCTGAGGGGCTTGGGGGATGGGGTACAAAAGGGAACTAGCACTTTCATACCTTTCCCTGCTCACGCACAGGACATTGATGGCTTATTCAAGTTGTTGTTGGCTGGGTAAGGCTGCAGCCTCCGGAGTTGGGCTGTCTAGATTCAAATCCCAGCCAGATGACTTGGAAGTTCTGTGACCCTTGAGGGGCTTCCATTTCTTCCTCTGCAAATGGTGGTTGTGAGGATTAAATGAGGAAATCATTAGCTTAACACAAGGCCTGGCGCTGCTAAGAAATTATTCTTAAATATTAGCTGCTTCCGTAATAAGGATAATAATTTGCCTGCTCAGAAACATTTTAATAATAGTAGAAATTATCCAGATGTTTGCATGGGGCTGTTGCCTTTTTTCCTGTCACCCATAGATTGTCAAACTCAACAGAGATGCTTCTGTGGCACCTTGGAGAGCTGGCTTTGTGTCTCTATCCAGAGAATCTTCCAAATTGGCCATCAGTCTCCTCCAAACAACCTAAATGAGGCAAAGCCTCCTCTTTCCTATTTATATTATAAATCTCTTCCTTCCTTGCAGAGGAAGCCTTGAGCACATATTAAACTGCACTTAAGGTCATCAGTATTGCTTCAGACTAGAGGATGGGTGTGTCCCAGTGAGTACAGAGATTGATCTTCTAAACCAATTGAGAGTTGGATTTCCTCTCCCCCACCCCTCAGGATATCATTTAGATAGGCTGAAGGGTTATCTAACAGGTGGCTCTGGAAGTTGGCTTTCATTGTCAAATAAATTCAACAAAGGCTCTTTAAAAGGCAGGCCCTCCTTTCGAGGGTGCCTGTTAATGAGGCCTGAGGAGGTTTGAGTTTTTACACTCTGAACAAGCCTTTGGTTTTTTGCTGAGTTGGTGGCTGGAAGCTTTCCTGGATCAGGGCTATGGTAATTTAGATGCATTGTAGAATATGTATGTTCAAGCCATCTTGGATGCTTCAGGTCCTAAGAGAACCGTGTCACCGTAGGCCAAGCTTCCTCCTACTCTTTGGCCTCAGCAGCAGCCCCAGATGTTGACAGCTGCTTCTGCAGGGAGGTGGGAGCCTGTTAATGCCAGCATCTTCATTGCCAGCAGCGGCTGCTCCCATTCCGGCTTCCTGATGGGACTTTTCCATGAATTTGGGAATCTGTCCTTTAATTCCAAGGCCTTTTAAAATCCCAGAGCAATAAAATGTGGCTGGTTTTATAGAATTGGACAGAGAGTAGATGGTCTGCTTGGGGAAGGGAAATACCTCTCCTTTTTCCTCTTGGCAAGTCCCAGTTCTGATCTTGAGACAAAAGTCCAGTGACATGAGGCAATGCAATTCTCAAAGTGCTACTGGTGTTATTTTGGCAGACCCCTAGTATTCTTAATCTACACTGCTGGAATCGTGTTCTTTTTCACAGGGTTGCAGGTTCTGGCTGAGGCATCTGCTCTTGCCTGGCACAGGTGGTCTTGTCTCATGCCTCTGTCAGTATATTCTATTCTTGTGCCTTGACACACATTATCTCCAAGTACAGGCTCCGGGGCTCGGACTGGAGCTAGTAGACCTTAGTCTTTTTATCCCAAATCTGTTTATTTTGAGAGAGCACAACCTCTGAACTCCAACCCCTGCCCCCCCTAACAAGCATGTTCCTTGCGAAAAGAACTCTCTTTTGTACAGGTGCTTATATGACAGTCCCCACAGACAGGCTGGCTTAGCAAATAACTAACACCCGACAGATCTACCAGACCCCAGAGCCAAACCTTGCCACAGGACAGCTCCCTCATGCATAGTGATGCTCTGGTTTCATCTGAAAGAAACGTGGACATGGGCCGACTTTTTATAAGAGAAGGCAAACCCAGTGTGTAAAGAAATACCAGCATCTTTCAAGTAGAGGCATGGGAGCAAAGCCAATAGTTCATGCTCTGTGTGAATGGAAAATATCAGTTGACTGAGCATTGAACTTTATAGAAAACTTCATGCTCTTTCCCCCCACCCCCCACTTACCAATCTAGATGATAGACAGATGAGAATCTTTGGGAACATACCGCCTTTTCATCAACTTTTTATCTAGAGCTAGCTCTGTATTTCAGACAGGTTGCAAAGCAAACTTGTGCTCCTACCCCAGTTGTATTCCCCCCCCCCCAATTGTCCTCCAAAGGTGAAGAATAATGCCAAGTTACCCTGAATTCTCCCCCCCCCCTTCTGTACTCCTTTTCAGTTCTTGTAAGTGTAGGTGAATCCCAGAGAAAGGGATTTCTTTCTCCCATGCTTGGAATATTCTGATGAACCTAGAGTGGTCCAAGTCTGGAGGGAGATGGGTTAACTGAAGTGGAAACCTACCCACATCCCCATTTCAGCATCGCCTTTGAGGCATGATGAATGTAATAGCAGCTGAGCAAGATCAGTTCTCCTAATTAGAACATCATTTGCATCTTGAAAAAGCATTTACTGTAACCCTACCTCATAACAATTAATCCAATGGTCCCTTAAGGGGGGAACAAGTACCACCAAAACTTTCCCTGCTATTCTACTCCTTCCCCTGACCCCAGTTTCCCTTGGGATTCTTAAAATTCAGGGTGGAATCTTCCCAGAGTCTAAAAATCTTTCCCTTGGATTCCAAATCGTGTCCCCTTGAACAGAGGTCTCGGCCTTCTGTTTCTATTTCTTTAAATTGATCTCCAGTTGAATTCCGAATGTAAAGGTCAGCAGGCTAGGAAATGGCACTTCTAATAGAAAACAATGTGCACTTTCTAAATTTGAACCAAGCCGTTTCCGCTCTTTGATTTAAGTGACTTCCTGGGGTTCCGTGTCAGGCACTGCAGTTGAATCTCTGGCGGGATTCCAACTTAAAATTGCACTCTCGGTGAAATTAGAAACTGATCCAGGGTTGGCTTAGCTATTCTAGTAAATAGCATTTCAGCCGAATGTTCAGCTCAGCACTTGGAAATGGGTGATGTGAGTGCCCCTTGAGAGGATTTCCCATCCAAGCTGTCAGGAGCTCACCTATCCAGGAGAAACCCGCCATTGAAGGCTGCTGCTATTAGAATTGGTGGTAATCAGATCCCCAACCCACAGAGTCTCAGGTACAGGTTCTCTTCCCTGTGAACATCTGAAATAAAGGCTTTTGTTGATCCTGTGATCAACTCCATGCTATCTTGGGCACTAGCACCATGATGGCATATGGTACTGTTAACTCTAAGGAAATCTTGGCTGTTAAACTCTGTGATGGTGATGAATGATTAAGCAGTTGCTTAATGCCAAGGCAATTTGGCAGGTACGAGCATTGGATTTTCTAATTTTGTCCCCATCGCCCATTTTGCAGTTTTGCAAAACTGATATGTTGAGATTAACGAACACACTCAAGGCAACACTACTAGGCAACAGTGAGAATTTTAAGTTGGATCAAATTGCCAGATCCTCTTTTCATAGCCACTGGGCTCGGAGGTGTGTAAGGAGCATATGTAATCTCCAAAAGCAGACAGTGGGTTTGCTCAGTTTGGGTTCTTGATGATTACTCCTTTTAATTTGCATAAGAGGGGCACATTATTTGGAATGCTGGTTTTTCCAGAAAAGGGGGATAATTGTAGTCACTATTTAGAGTTGTTGTGAAGAGTCTCTGGTTTTGTGTATGGTGCTTAGGAGAGTACCTGACACATAATAAGTGCTCAATAAGTGTTATTTCTACCACTTGTCCTTGTTAATCATTGAGGTCCCACGAGTTGCTTGTGAGTCCAACTGAGGGGGGAAATCTGTTTCTATTTCAGCTGTGCTCCCAGGGAGCTGATGGGGAAGTGATGACAGGCCACATACTGACTGCTGGAATCCATTCTCTTTTTCCTTTTTCCCCCCACCCCCACCCCTAGGGCCCCTAGAAAGAAGCCTGTTCCTCCAGCATTCCAGGACCTCCAGCCCCATGGAGCCCCCGATCCCACAGAGTGGCCCGTTGACTCCCAGCTCCGTCATGATCCAACCCCTCCTTGACAGCCGAGTGCCCCACAGCCGGCTCCAGCACCCACTGGCCATCTTGTCCATCGACCAGATGAAGACCAGCCACGTGGAGAATGACTACATAGACAACCCGGGCCTGGCGCCCCCTGCCGGCCCCAAGCGCGCACGGGGCGGGGCCTCAGAGCCGGCTCCAACCCCGTCCCGCTGTGACCAGGATGTCACCCACCACTGGATCTCCTTCAGCGGGCGCCCCAGCTCTGTGAGCAGCAGCAGCAGCACGTCCTCCGACCAGAGGCTCTTAGACCACATGGCACCGCCGCCTGTGGCTGACCAGGCCTCCCCACGAGCTGTGCGCATCCAGCCCAAGGCAGTCCACTGCAAGCCCCTGGACCTCAAGGGCCCTGCAGCCCCGCCTGAGCTGGACAAGCACTTCCTGCTCTGCGAGGCCTGTGGGAAGTGTAAGTGCAAGGAGTGCGCGTCCCCCCAGACGTTGCCCTCCTGCTGGGTCTGCAACCAGGAGTGTCTGTGCTCACCCCAGACCCTGGTCAACTACGGCACTTGCATGTGCCTGGTGCAGGGCGTCTTCTACCACTGCACCAACGAGGACGATGAGGGCTCATGCGCAGACCACCCCTGCTCCTGCTCTCACTCAAACTGCTGCGCCCGCTGGTCCTTCATGGGCGCCCTCTCCTTGGTGCTGCCCTGCCTGCTCTGCTACCTGCCCGCCACGGGCTGCGTGAAGCTGGCACAGCGCGGCTACGACCGCCTGCGCCGCCCCGGCTGCCGCTGCAAGCACACGAACAGCGTCATCTGCAAGCCAGCCGGGGATGCCAAGGCCAGCAGACCCGACAAGCCTTTCTGACGCTTTGGGTCAAAGCCCCAGCTCTCCCCACGGTAACTTGGTTCCCTTCTGACATCTGAGAAGACCACAGTGAGGCCAGAGGCTTTAGCCTCCTGTAGGCCACCTTTCCTCGCCCACCCTAGTTCCCACCCCCATCTTCGGCAGAAATGGAGGCCACCATCAGCCGACTCTTAGACCCTAAAAGGATACAGAAGCACTGGGGTGTTTGTTTTCTCCCCAGGGTCCTGGAACTTCGTATCAAGCAGACAGTGGCAGGATTTGGGGTGTGATTTTGGAGGGGGTGGGCTGGGATATTTTTTTCCTTTTTCAGAAGACTGAACACAGATGTGGACACATCCGGAAGTTGTAGCTGCTTGAATGCCTTCCCAGTGCCTCCTCCCTCCCTTCCTCTTTCCCCTTCTCTTTGGCTCAGTAGTTGCTGGCTGCCTGACAAAGTGGCCAGGGTACCTTTCAAAGACCTGGAGCCTTGACTTCTGTCCCTTTTCTTCCTGCTCTCCCCAACCCCAGTTTGCCCTTGACATCTTGGGAAAGTAGCTGACCCTAGCAGCCCATGATGTACAAACTTGGAAGGCAACAGGGGACGGCGAATCCAGGGACCGAGCCTCACTCCTTCCTGGAAACACAGGATTGACTTAGGACCCAGTCCACCGTGCAGCCCTCCCTCCAGCTACATCACTAACTCCTGAGGGTGTGCCACTCCTAACACCATCCTTCGGTTCTTTCTGAGTTACAGACTTACCTGCCCTCTATGTGTCCTGAGTTCTCTCTGCCCTAGATCTTTCCAGAGACTTTGTGGGTAGAGAAGGCCAGGGCAGCAAACTCCGAGACCAAATATCATTTTGCCAATGAGTCTGAGGCTGTGGTCTCTGGATCCAGTCGTTAACGTTTTTATAGAATAATTAAACCAGATGCTGACGGTGTTTAAAAAAAAAAAAAAAAAGAATAGAAAACATTTGTTTCCTTTTGGGCCACCCCCAGGAAGGGCTGATTTTAAAATCTGGGGGACAAGCAACCTCAAGGAACACGATTCCCCTCCCTACTGAGAAGAGGATTTTAACAGCAAAGAAGAGAGACAGCACCTCCCATTGGCAGAATGACAGTCAAGCTGGGCTGGGTTTGGGTTTCTTCTCTTCTGCTGCTGCTTGCTCTCATAGCCTTTTGTGTATAGTGATGTGTCTATCTTTAATGTAAATAGAGAGATGGTGACAAGAGTCTATTTTAGTGTTAGGAAGTCCCAGTGGGGGAATCAAAAGAGCGAGGATGGGGAAAGATTCTCTGGGTGCACCTGAGGTTGAGCCTTGCTTCTGTGCATGGGCACACCACCCCCTGGCAGCCCCCAAAGATATAGCAACCCTTTCTCTCAAGGTGCTAAAGGACCCAGAAGGTGCAGCACGTCCAGTGGGTAGGTACTTGTTGCATGCAAAAGTTGTCGTGTGTCTGGTCCTTCCTCCCCAGCTATTATGCTGGGTCTTTGTTTTGTGTGGTATTTTGCTCCCCCCTCTAATTAGAGGAAGTGGCCTGGGTCAGAAGAGCCTACCCCAGGTGAAATTGGAGGCGTGTTAGGCAGGGCATTTGTAGCATTTCCAGTTTGTTTTGTAGTGACAGAGCTGCCTCCGGGAAGGAACCGAGGAGGCAGATAACTATAATTGGCATGTATCCAACACTTATCAAGGATTTTTTTCCCCCTCTTTCCTCTCCTTCCCTCCCTTTTTGGAGTAATAGTGACACCTTATGATTTAGAATAAATTAATTGTAACCATAGATATTTATTGATTGGAGGATAGGAGGGAGGTCTTATTATTTTAGGCTTTATTTATGTAACATTTGCTAGCTTTGTAAAAGGCAAATATGAAAAACTGCATCTACATTTTCTAAGGCTGATTCACATAGCTACCCTTGCCATAGCCCTGATGGACAGATGGATGGATGTCCTTGCACAAATCAGGATGGTAGAGAAACACATTCAGCCAACCACTTACTACTAATTTGAATGTATCAGATGTGTATAGAAGGGACTCCAGATGTCTTCAGAATAGGTGTGTGGAGGCTAATGCCAACATAATGAATGCACATGGGCTTTTCCAGCAAGACCGGCCAGCTTTCCCAGGGCTCTGCCCTCAAGTCACCTGCCCTGGGAAACTAGACCCAGTGGTGAATTGCACTTTGGTAATCCTGGTCTACAGGCCCGTTCTGTGGAGAACTGACATATAAGCTGCATATGCACACGAGCGCGCGTGCACACACACACACACACACACACACACCCCTCTGTACCAATCTTCTCTATCTATGTATACCCTGTTTCCTAGCAAAGGGCCTCCTGACTTTTTATGTACATAGTTGTAAACACAGATTTTCCTGGGTTTTTATTTACTTTTTTCCCCCCCTCCCCCATTTTTCCCCCTGATTTGGCTTGTTTTTTAGTTTGTGTTTAACCTGCTCGATGGATGTCTGCAGGACCCGGGGACACCTCGGTGGCCTGTGTTTGCTGTGGTAAATGGAAGGAGGAAGGCCTCTGGTTCTCCCTGTTCTGTAGTACAACAGTCCCTCAGCATGATTTTTTGGCTTCAAGGCCAAAAGACAAGGAAAAACTGGCTTGCCCTTGGAAAGTACAAGGGCCACTGAAGGATCTAGCACTCAGAAATGTGACACATTTATGGCTGCTTCTGGTTCCTGTTGCCAACAGCCTGCTTGACTGGGTTATGCCTTGTCATGTCTCTTTTTGGGAAAAAAATACTACCTGGCTCCCACTTTTGTTCATGTTGGAGTAGGGTAGTGGCTCTGTTGGAAATCAGTGTGGGAGTTCATGTCCAGGACACTTCTCCTGAGGATCATTGGCTGCCCACCCTAGGTTTTAGGGTAGCAAAACTTTTTTCAGATAAATGCTGGGGGACAATCAAGGCTTCTCAGAGTATATGTTTGGAAGGGCTTGAAGACCAGTCTCTGCTGCTCACATGGGACCCTCCCCAGCCAACAGAGGAGAACCTCCACCAGATCTGCATCAGTCTCATTGGATAATCAAATGAGGGCTAGGTGAACAGTGACTGATCCCAAGCTGCCCTTTGTGAAGTGCAGGTCGAAACCAGAATCCAGAGGACTCCAGTGGAAGCTCTGTGTTCTCTCCCATGCTGCCCCATAGGTGCAGATGGGTGTGGGCAGCACCACCTAGCACTGTACAGGCCACTAGGGCATCCCACAAGCTGCACTGGCCTTTTGCTTCCTGCCCCTAGGAAGTATTTCCACACCCTCTGCTTACTGTGACAGTCAATGACAACTCTTGTGTTGCCTCTTTTTCCTCTCACTGTGGAGAACTGCGTGCAGTGTCTTATGTTGCTTTTACTTTTCACTGCCACAGGGTTTGGATTTGTGTTAACAGGAAAGCTGTCCATGACCCCTACCCTACCATGTTCCTTTTCTTTTTTTCCCCCCATCACTGTTAGCCCCTTCTCACCCCACAACAAAAGTTACCACAGAAGGTTTCCTTTGTATAGAATATTTATTTTGAAGCTCTATTTTAATAGTATTTATTTTAGAAAGTCTACTATTGTAAGAGTTCTTCTGTTTGTGAAGAAAAAAAGTTAAAAACTGAATGTACTGATCTAGAAAATATATATAAATATATATTGTTAAATATACACAGGATGGCTGTTTTCTTATGTGTCTCTGTTCACACCCCAAATGCCCTCACAAAGAACACCTGGCTAGCCACTGTACCAGATGGAAATGCACTGAAAAAGAAAAGCCCTGAATCCTGATTTTATTACTACTATTATATTAACTCATGCTGTTTCCATCAAGTTCTCATGGAGGACAAAGTGGGCAGGGGAAGGATTCCTAGGCTGGGATTCTCCCAACATAACTTGAACCGTTGGAGAAGAGTTTCACTAGATCATGAAGCTGAGTACTGCCAGATGCTGCTAACGCTGCTGCCTACCCAGCATGCCATTCCCCAGCCTGGGCTGTGTTTGTAATCCAGATGGTCAGCAAAATTCTAAAACTAGGAATAGGAGGTGAGAAAGAGTAATCTGATTTGTTGTGTTCGCCAAGATCCTCCAGTTTCTGCCCTGATGCCCTCAAAGCAGATTTTTGTGCATCTGCACGAAAGTGCTTCAAGGAGCCCTTGGCAATTTTCTTGTTTTCACCTGACTGGTGGTGAATGTTCCACACAACTAGCAACTTCACTGAAAGCCTCCCATCCACTTAGTGGCTTCTTTTCTCCTTCCAGTTCCGTCCCACTGTCTCCCAGTACACTTCAGCTTGGTTAGGTAGATAACAGGGAGACCTCCACTGTGAGTCTTTTTCAAACAAATGGCCAAGTGCCTTTTAGTCTTAGTTGGAACTTAGGTTGATAACAGAATAGTGACCATTATGGTGATGGAGCAAAAAACTGGGGGGAGGGGGGCATGTTTTAACTTCTTTGACCAGCTCCAAGCTTCAAGCACCTCTTAAAGACACACCAATAAAGACATTATAAAGGATGGTGTTCCCCAGTGTGGCCTTTGCTCTAGAACTTCAAATAAAGATCTGTCACCTGGCCTCATCCCTGCACAACACACAGATGTTAATTAATACTCAGAAGTCTGCCTTTGCTGGTGAGGCGATACTAGCACTCGGGGATGATTTTCCTCCGAATCGGATCAGTTTCCCAATTAGTGTTTACTGGGCTTTGTTCGGTCCTGAGTTTCCTGGTAGGGACAATGTGTGGGTGGGACAAGGGACTGGTCTGCCGCTCTCCTTTGTTTCTAGTGTTTGGGATTGGAAAACAAACCTGTATAGACAGGGTTTTGAATGCCTACTACCTCACCTGCCCAAATGCTCTCTGGGGAGCTGAACCATGTTCTTGTTTAAAGAAAGAAGAAAAAGGAAAAAAAAAATGAGAAGATATTGAACAAGCAAGTGCCTACCTTATTCTACTTGACTGGCCCCTGTTGTTCTTGGTTCCCAGAGATGAATGGCTTTTGGATAATGACATAATTTATTGGGCTAATCACTACTGCTAG